TCTCCGCAAGATACCTCCTCTCTTCCCATCGCTAACGATCGGCACGTAATCGGCCCGAATTATAAACGTCGCCATAATTCAGCCGACCGACGTCCCGACGTTTGAAAAACAAAGCTCGAGTTGGGGTAATATCGGTAACAGCTGGTCCATGCGCCTCTTGCCCATCGTTAAGTACGACGCACCCTCGGAAACCTCTATTCGCGATGGACGATAGCCCGCTCCCGTACGGCCGGGCCACGCACATCCCGAAGCCTGCAGGTGCGCGCGAGCGCACATGTATGTACGCATACGTAGATAACGACGTTCCTGAACGCAGATCGCGACGTAGATTTATCTGGCGCGAAGACCGCTGACGCTGTTCCTTCGCGCCACCAGCTCCTCCCCTTTGATAATCGCGAGGGGGTCTCTTTTTCTCTCTCTCCCTTCAGCCTCCCCCCCTCCTGAATTCCAAATGTGGCGAGACACGGAGAGTAACTGGGAGGAAGAGAGAGAGAGAGAGAGAAGAAGATGAGGTACAACCGCGTGAAGGGAAGGGTGTTAAGCCGCGATTCGGATCGGAATTCGGGGCACGTTCGCGTCCGATGGCGCCCCGTCGACGCGATCGTGGTTGCCGTAAGTTCGGAGGAAACTCTCCGGACAAATTTCGATATTGCGCTCGTTATATCAGAATTAGCCGTTGAAAGGATACATTTATATTTTTCACACATACTGAGAGAAATTGCAGTAACTTTTGGCTTTAACGATACTCTTCTCATGATTTTCACCACGTAAATAGTAGTAATAGCATGCGTATAAGGTTATTATCATTATAGTAACAGTTAGAAAAATGGCTCTTCTGACTATAATTCTTTAACAATGATGATTATACACTACTCACTATAAGAGAAAACTTGACATTTCTTCAAAAAATAAACAAGATTCGAGCAGCTGTAATTTCGTCAAAAGTTATCGAAATAAAAAAAGGATTTTAAATCCTGAAATCTCTATTTTCGAATGAAAGTATCTCTCATCATTTAACAATTTTTCCGTTCACTTCCAGGCATGTCACGAGAACAAGAAAAAATCTATTTTTTTTACTTGTCCACGTTAAAAATTGAAGTTTTTCCCTGTAATTTCTCGTTTCCGAATTATTTTATGGGGGGAAACGTACGAGAAATTATAAAGTTGCTTAATTTTAGTGAAAATATACCATCAAATCGCTATAATAGTTGGGACGATAATTTGCACGTTCAGGAATAAAGCGGTTCCTTAACCCGGAAAAGCAGGGAAAACTGACGGATCACCGAGCTCGGTCTGTGCGTGCGCCACAGTGACCGCAGAGAGATTTACGTACTCACGTCAGATGCCCCACGGACTCCACAGTCTTCGGGCATCGGATATTAGGAATCCCTGTATGTGTACTCTAGGTGTTTGTACAGGCAGCGGGGGTAATCGAAGCCATGCGATACGCCACAATTTTCTTCAGGAAGAGCGGGTAGATTACGTGGTGTATGAGTCGTATAACCGGTCGAAGCACCATCGTCTAACTGTTCGAGACGCAGTGTTGATAGATCTGGTCAAACGCGCCGGCCTCCGAGAACGCATCTGTCACTTAAAGACAAGTTAGCCGTGTCTTCGGGTTTAACTTCCTCGGCGAAATTCCGTTAACGTTCACGTAAGTTACGTCTCACTCTGGGG